GGCGTGTAAGGGAAGGGAGAATGCTTCGCAAGTCTACTATCACTTAAAACTAACTCGAACGCAAGTCACCGTCTCCGCACCAGCCCGTTGTGAAGCATACGTGGGCGTATTCTAAATCGATGATCGGACTGTCATTGATCTTGAAAGCCACCCCCCTTACCTTACTCGATTGTCTACTCGTCTGTCTATATGCTTTAGTTGCTCCATTTTGACCCTTTTTAACCCTCTTCTCATTTTCGAACCGTCTAACCAGATTTACTGACGCAAAAATGCGTTCCGGACTTTTCGCTTTCCTCTTTCTCCCCTCCCGACACATCTGTGTGACTTCCTGTCTCCGAAAAAAGGAGAGTAAGTGACGGCCACCCCTGTTCACCGTTTTCTAACACACTCTCCTCACAGTTCGCATGGTGAAATCTGGTAAAATAACCATGGTCGAAGGAGTTAAATGCAAATCGGAGCGCATCGACCATCTTTTAAACATGGAAGGTCTCGGCGACCCCCGCATCACTGACCCAATTGTCCGACTTGGTTTGAAACTCAAACACACCGTAAGTGGCAGGGCTTGCTGCGTCCAACTTTCGGTCTGCCTGTTCTTTCTAGGACGTCTTAATCTTGAGTCAGTTTCTTCGACCTGATGGTACTATCCTCCCCAAGGAGGTATCTGGTCTCACTACAGGATCTCAGATGCGCATCGAGATGCTGATTGAGCGCGCGCAAAACGCCGGTAATTTCAATTAACCATGGCATTACTCTCCTAAATTAATTAAGTAGCATGAACATCAGATTCATACTTGTTCACTTTCAGGTCTCCTACCGCAGTCCATCGACCCCGATGGGACACATCACTACAAGGAACGCCCTCGGGACAAAATGAACGTCTACTATGATTCTAGCACCCCAGGACTTCCTAAGTTCTCCAAACTTATACCCAAATACAGACCGCCCACTTGATTCTTCCTGTGTCTTCCCTCCCCCCTCTTGTACATTTGTACTTTAAGTGATGACAACCTCTTATTGGTATGAATGGATACGAAGTTTCGCGTTTCAGGAGTTTGCATGAGTAAAGGAGAAGATTGGTCGATCACTGAGACAGTTCGCTTATTATTCTGAACTTTCAAACGCGTGCCGAAATTCATCGTCAGAGCTAGCAGCAGCAATAAAAAGACGAC